TACCCTTTCAGGGCTTGGTAGAACAGTCAAGGGAATTACACCCAAGGTCCGAAGGCTTACCTCAAGCTTCAATTCGACCTTTGTTCACCACCAATGTCAACAATACTCTACTCCAAAACCAACACCTACACATGGTGTAATGCAATCAACACATTGCATCCAAGAGTATTTCACAATCAACCATCAACTACTCAATTCAAAACACTACACAAGTATGAGCTTACCGATTCCAATGAGCTACTCAAGCTCCATAGCTTGCTCAAGCGGTTGATCACTCACGGTCGGTCCAAATGTCTCAATCCTAGACATTACAAGGACACAATCATCAATCAACCAAGCCAAACCATTTATTAACAATGCAAGAAATCCAATATCAAGCATCATATTCTTGCCATTTTACAAGTATACTCATTTAGCTATCTAAGCTCATTTTCACCGATTAAATGACATTCCTAGCATTTTCCATAACATGCTCTAAGCTCCATTCTTCCTAGAACATAGCTAATTTAACAACATTTCATCAAAATCCCTAAAACACTATTCATAAACCCTAACTCATGCAAATTTCAAGGAATCATGAGGTTCAAGGGTTAGAATCTTACCACCAATGGTCACACAACCAAGCAAGGAGTGTTCCTCAAGCTCCCATGGAGGTTGAACTTCCCAAAACCCCAAAATCTCTCCAATGGCCGAATTTTTGAGAGGCAATATCCCTCTCCACAATGCTCCTCACTCAAAACAAAGCAAGGATTATGAAAGAGGACGAGATTCTAAGCGATTTAGGCTTTTGAACGGATGGATTTGGTTGAGATTTGCTCACTCTATGATCTCCCCTTTCTTCTTCCCTCTCTTCTCCCTCTCTTCTCTTCTCCTTCTTTCTGTTGTAGTCGACGGCAATGGGGGGAAAAATGGGGATTCTTTTGGCTTTTAGTCACTTAACATAGGTTAAGTGGCTTTAAGCGGGTATTGGTTCATCTATCTATTCAACTCCAATAATTACCAAACTTTACCCAAAAGTCTGGAATATTATTCTAGGAATATTGCTATTTTTATTTTTATATTTTGGACACTTTCACCAGTACCCATTTATACCCCTTAATTTTCACTGAGTACACTTTTTAACTCCAAAGTGACTCAGATTCATTTAATTAAGCATTATACTTAATTTCACTCAGTAAAACATGCTTAATTAATTAATTACACTTGATTTACTAACTAATTAAGTTGGGCTATTATAGTTCCCATACTACCTGAACCTGAAATAAGCATTCCCCAAACGTGGGGTGAGATCTCTAAACAAGAAATCTCAGTAAGACAAGGGGTCCTCAAGGATCTTCCACCCCAAGCTCACTTACATGTACAATATAAGTTCAAAAGCAGTTTATCATCATCAGTTCTAAAATAGTGCAATGCAGCAGATAATCATGTCATGTGTGTCAATTCTATTCTACTGGCCAGAGAAATGCAAGATTTATATACGCCAAATACCCACACATAGTGCAAGACGCCACTTACATTCACCCCGGATCACCATATCGTATGACGCCACATACTCAGGCTGACCGTCAAGATGAAACAACACATGCATATTAAAAGCCATTACACATAAAGCTCAACAACATTTCAAATATTCAAAGCATGTAACACAGTATGCCTATAACCATACCCCCATGGGACATGGTGGAACCACAACATGGCTAAATCGAGGACACGAGAGCTTACTTTGCAAGCTAACACCCAAAGCCAAGAGTCCACAGCTCAAAGTCCAAACACAGCAGATTCACAATCTGTTATGGACCAACAATACATCAACAACATGCACCGCAAGCATACAATATTAAGACAACGCCTTTCCATTACGTTTTACGTCTTAAAGCTTCTCACCAAAGAAGTTCAACTTCCTCAAACTAGGGTCCACAAACCCATAGATCAGTTCTGGATGAACAGTACGCTACTGTTCCTCGGAAACCCAGAATATCCGGATATTCCTCGGGGACATATTCGGATATGCAATATCCGGATATCTCAAAGGCAATATCCGGATATCAAATATCTGGATATCAATATCCGGATATCCAGATCCCCATATCCGGATATCAATATCCGGATATTTTACGGCCAATTATCCGGATATTTCGCGAAGATATCCCTCCAAGGTTACATTTTTATCACTTTCAAACGTTAAAGAATGCATCTTTATATTGTTTTAGGGTCATACCACTGTTGGTTACATGTTTAACTCCTTAAACATACCAAGACACCTTTTTTACTCAACAAAACACAAGATCAAGGTTAGTACAACTTACCAAAGCTCAAAACAGAGCAACAATGGCTCTTGGAGCTCACCACACTGCCTCTACAAGTCTGACCTTCAAGGCACACGAAAAATACCACTCAAGCAAGGATCTTTCTTCACAAAGTTTGCTCCTTGGAGCTCCAACAACCAAAGAAGAAGCTCACACCCTCACATAAGGCCACTCAGCCCACAAACTGACTTCACACAGCCTCTCAACTCAGAACAAAGCTCTCTACACACACACAAAGGCCACTCACACAAGGCTCAAGTGTTTGGAGATGAAGAAACCAAGCAAAAGTGACACTTGATCTCTAAAAATAGTGAAGAAACTCAAAGGAACAGAAACAAAGACTGACCAGCCACCAACTCACGCACAAAGTTGATGAATCAACCTAGGGTTATGTGCAGCTAACATATATATAGACACTTAAGCACTAATCACACAGTATTAACTTTAATTGCTACGCTTAGCATTTTAATCCCAAACTTTGGATTCTTAACCTACTCAATTTTACAAGAATTATCATATTTTTCTTATAATTTTCGGAGCACCTTTCCGGTACGTGCTTTTCATAGCCAGTACCAGTTTCTGGCACCTGCTCTCATTATTTGGACTTGAAACTCGGTTTACAAGTCCTACATATTATTCTAGTAATTATCATGCACTTATTACAATTTTCCGGGATACTCTTTTAGTACGCATTTACACCGACTAGCAGAACCGGTATCTGCACTTTTCTTCCGAAAAGAAACTTTCAGCATTCTTACTCACTAATTATAATTATTAAAGCCTCATAATAATTATTAGGGTCAATTATGGAATTATTTCCTAATTTCACATAATTAATTAAATCCCTTAATTAATGGTGCGGGTTCTTACAGAGACGAAAGGAAATACATACGGTAACCAAATATATGTAATTAGATGATCATGTCATTAACCTAACTAGCTTTGGGCAACAAAGCATTGCTAGTGCTCTGTGTTGTCATTAAATGAGTTGTGGGCTTGTTGGGCCCAAGCCCATTTATGTCAGTGGCTATGTTGGGCCTAATGGGTCACACACTAACACCTTATTGTCTTGATGAATATAGCATTAAAGGTATTGGGCCTAATAAAGGTTGTTAGCCCAAGAAGAAGTTTGGAAGCCCACCTAAGAGGGAAAGTGCGCATGGTACATGTAATGGGCTTGGATTTGAATTTTGAATTTAAATGTTTGAACGTTTGAATTTAAATGTATGAATTTGAATTTGAATTGGCTATGAAAAGTTGTTTCATAACAAAAGGATAAGATAAGATCTAGTTGGAACAAATCCCAAGTATCAAGAAGAGATCTTTGGGCATCATCCAAGGCTGATTTGGGGCGCTGATTTTGGGGTCTTATGATGGTCATATGAGAAACCAAATAAGCTCCAATCAGATTTGGTTGGTTGAGAGAATAAGTGAGTAACTCGGTTCAAATTTGAATGCAACTACTCAATGTATTTGGACTCTTTTTGGGCTGAATAAGGGCGCACCATATGGCTGGCCATATGATGGTTATTAAGTTAGATTTTTGACTAGGTATAGACTTAGTCTCATGAGGATATGATATGATAGGAGGTTGTAGGATAGATTTGAATTGCAACAACTCCACTTATTCCTCCACCATCGGGCGCTACATAGGTCAGATTTTTGGGAGAAAAATCTGATTCAATTCAATTATTCTCTCATCTCCAAGTGTGCTTCCTTTTGTGAGGTTCTCTTTAGGGTTTTTCGAAAATTACCTAGCCTTTTCTCATAGAATCCATGCGCCACTTTGTGAGTTTTTCATGCTGAAAAATTCACTCATCTAAATACATTAACCTTGCCTCCTTCTTCTCCTATTGGGAAGCCTAACCTTGCCTCCTTCTTCTCCTATTGGGAAGCCTAAAGTGTCTTCCTTGTGGAGTTCCTTTGGTGGCTTTTCAAGAAGGGTTCTTGCATCTTGACGTAGGGTGGTGAGGATCAACGTTAGAGGGTTTGAACCTTCAAACCTAACACTGATCAACTTGGGGTTTTGAATCGCGAACAAGGTACATCATACTGTCTTAAAGCATCTATCTTGATTAGCATGTGAGATTCCGCTTTGTAAATTTTTTGTTTTCATCCTCACATGCCATCGACCTTCAAGACCATTTTCTTTCATGAGAAAAGTTGTAAAAAGAAACAATAAATGTTTTTTTGTTAAAAAAAAACACTGTTAAGAAAGTAATATATATTTGATTTTATCTCTCCTAATCACACGCACACAAAATTAAATTATTCATCTAACTGGATTTAGTCTATTCATTATTTTAGAATAATTCATTCTTTTATTCTTAATGTCTTATGAGTGACCCTTGTATCTCGTTTTGGTAAAGCAGCCGTGCTAAAGGAGTAGTAAACATTTACTCCGATATTAGATCATCTATTTGTATTTTTTATTTTATTTTTGTAATAATCTATTTGTATTTAGTTGAGGAGAAAGAGTGATAAACTAGTTAATTTATGATAATAATCAAACAGATGAACTATTACCGATTAAGAGATGAAAGGAGAAGTTCACAATACATGCACTAATATTTAAACAAACAAAACGTATCCTGATTATTAATTTGATAAGAGCCAACATGGTTTTATTAGGGACACAGAAATAAACTTTATTGTCCTATCATTACGTTTTTTGTCCTCCTTTAAGGAACTGCGCTAGATGCGAGAACTGAAAGACCAGGAAAGAATGTCATGTGTTTCAACATCATCGCCAGTGGCACCAGAGAAACCAATTCTGACCCATTCCGGCAGAACACCCCCCAAGTCAATTGTTTGTGCGAGGGTAACAAATTTTTTTGGAGGAGTATTAAAATAACCAAACACAACAGTCAATTCTTGAGCATTGGAGTTATAGCTTATACTAGCTTTTCCTATTGATCCTTCAGGAACAGAATTAATAGGCCAATCTGCAGTTCTCAATGATTCAAGAGAGTCTATGTCTATTCCAATATGAGGAGCTATGGGTACAGGAATGGGATCCCATACATTTCCGAAGCTGTCAAACTCAACAGCCAAAATTTGATTCTGGTTTGTGTTGAAAGCAGTTTCAGGACTAAATAGTCCAAGGAATCCCCCAGTTGAATTTTTTGGAATTCTGGGGTCAGCATCAAATGGTATCATAAAGAAGGCCAACCCATCAGCATGGATTTCTCTACCAGCTGAGTCCACCATGAATGAGAACTCAGTTTCAAAGTCTGCAAGTTTGCCTGTGCTTTTGTCCCACAGGCGCACTGGTGGAATATAAACAGCTCGACCAACACTGTGTTTCTGGAGAGTAATACCATCTGGTCCATCTCTTCTTGTTAGTTGTATAACCCCACCTGATGGACGGGCATCGCCAAGATAACCAATATCAAAATTTTGTTCTGGCCCGAAACTTGAGAAGCTGAATGAAAATGAATCAGACTTAACATTGCTTAGTTGCAACAAACAAAAGAGGATGATCGTAGGCAGAGCAGAAAACAGGTTGTGTGTTTTAAGAAGAGTTTTAGCCATGGTAGATATATTACTTTAGAACTTGGTTGGGGTGCATGGCAAATAGGGAGGCGTGATATATATATATACGAGGTTTGCATAGGCCAGCTATAAGAAAATGATTAAGTACTAATTGCCGAACAAGGCAGCTTACATAGTAAACTGGGTAAAAGCACCGTTTTAAAATTTTTGGACAAAAGAATTGTCCGGTTAAAGTTGCTTAGATAAGATTTTTCAAAACAGTTAAACATGTTACTTATACTTACGGGACTCATGCCACGTCAACGCCATGTAAGCAGTTTCGTTACCGTAAAACTTCGGAAGACCATAATTTTTAACTCGGGTATCCAAATCAGATGATTTTTTTTTATTTCACATCTTTTTGAGATCTACACAATAACACCTTATTTGACATATTTTATCTCCTACAAATATAGTTTGAATTTGTAACAATTGTACCACAATTACAAGAACGTTTAAATCCAAAAGATCCTGATTATGGTCTTTCAAAATTTTACGGTAAAAAAACTGTCTACGTGGTGATGACGTGGTCCAAAAATTTTAAAATAGTGCTTTAGCCTAGTAAACTGAGTGGTCTAAACTTGACCTTGGAAAATCCAAGCAATTAAAGATTGATTAATTGTAGTGTGTGTGTATGTTTTGGTCAAAGACTTGCATTTTTGCTGTTTGTCTCAAACTTATGGACTCCTCAGATTGCAACAAAAAAATAGATAAAATCAATACATCTGAATTTTTCATTAACAATGAGACCAAGGTACGTAAACGTAATATTAAGCTGTCAAATATTGGGAGTTGCATTTTAGGTTGAAAAAAATCAACATACTATGAGTAATTTGTAGTCCTACTATTCAGTTATTAATGTGGTCAGTATCCGGTGACATCCAGAAACTCTTTAATATTTGTTAGTTAACATAAAAAAAAAAAAAATACTGGAGTCTGATTCCTCCAGCTAATGTTCAACAACAATAACAAAAAGTTAGACGGTGTTAATTGGACTAGTAAAGGGTTATTAAAACAATGAAATTCTGACTTTTCATTTGACCATGTTAGCATGCAGATGTCCTTTTGGGTACAATCAAGCACGATAAGTTAAAAACTAAATGGTGAATGACGATACAGATTAGCATCGTTTGACTACAATATTAAACTTTTTAGGTATTTCATAGCTATATGGGGAAATAAGTTAATTTGAAATTAATAGGTAACCAAAAAATCTGAAATTTTGATTGAGAGGAGAGTTCATGAGTCAGATGCCATACTCATCATCTCACGTGGGCTAGTTTTAGAATAATTTTATATTTGACAAAATAAATTTATATGTGATAAATATTAGTTTAATTAAATTTTTGGTTCAATGTAGTCCTCATACGATATTATTTCTTTTCTAAATTTGTCTAATGTCAAAAGACATAGTGTTCTGCCTAAGGCTGAGATGTCTAACCAGAAGTTAGATGATTAATATTGGATCTGGTGCTTCCTCTCTAGAAATCTATAAATTAGGTATCTTGGAGGCAGCGAATCACGACACACTATATGACGACGTTAGCCAGAGGGGGTGTGTGTGCGCTGTGTGATTGCATAAAAGTAGGGTTAAAAGAGATCAGTCATACCTGTGATCTTTAGCTCCTATTTATAGTGCTTACCTTTGGGCTTGCATCACTTGGGCCTTCTGTGGGCGTGGGACTCATTCAGGTCCGTAACAGTTGCCCCCTAGCTCGGTAGACTGAGTATTCAGGGTATCGAGATGTCCGAGTTACGTTGTTCGACGTTCACGTTTCACCCCGGTTTGCCTTCATTCCAGCGTTGCTTTTACCTCGGCATCACTTTCACACTGTCGGTCTGACTCGAGAGGATGGACGAGGTTCTTCAAGCTACTCCAGATATAAGCTCTATCCGAGATGAATCACCTGAGATATGATAAGGTTTCCTCTTTTGAAAAACGACTTCTCTTTCCTGGGAAACGATTCTCCTCTCACGTAAAGATGATTACTTTCAACGTGGCCCTCCTCAACCAATGCGACGTGTGCCACTACTCCTCCCCACGCTGTTTCGCATTAATTGCCACTGTAAAACGTCCCTCAACTGTCTTGTCTATTATCAATTTTACTCTTGTGCCCTTGCCTTTTGATTTCGCGGGTCTTTTCCTATTTAACTTCGGTTTTCCCATTACTTCAATATTATGGTTTTCACTCTTTTCACCTTTGCATTATTCTCACCGAAACTCCCTTTCCCTTACCATCTTCGTAACTTCCCTTTATAATTTCTCCATGTTTCTTTTCTTCATACTCCTTCAAGACCTACTTCAGGTACGTTTACTAGCATCCTTTTTATTTGTTTCTGCCTGTTTATTTTCCTACAATGTTATTTGTTGCTTTGTCATTCTCTCGACATGCTTTAAACTTGTCGCGTACGCTATTCTGTCACGATAAGCCTGGTACTGCCACATTTTCTTTTCCAGTATGCCATTTTGTTCTTATTTATCTGGCTACACTTCATTCATTTGCATTGCATTTTCTGTGTGAAACCTCCTTGCTATTGCTTATCTTCCCCCCTTTCTTAGTTCGAAAACTCTTTCTTGGGATGGGTGAGAGGAACTTCACTATTCCAGGGAGATCCACTTGCCCTCGTATCTTCGGTCATAGCGATGAAATTAATGCAGAAGAAGAAGAGAGGTATACAGAGGAAGAAGAAAAGTTCATCCAGAACCTACCTCCTGGTCCGAGATTTTGGTTGTTCGGTAGACCTCGAACCGAGGAGGAAATTCAGGCTGCCTTACTTAGAGGCTGTCGAGGTGGTGAGACCAGGGGAGTATCTTCATCTTGCCCCCCAACCAGAGGATGCGGTCGAGGTTTCCGTCGTAATGTAGGGGTGTTACCAAGACGTGTTACTCATAATCTAGGTCAAACCCCCACCCCTTTACACCTAACCCCAACTTCAACCCATAACCCTGCTCCTCTTCACACCCCTTATCAGACTGTGTCGGCCAACTCGGGTAGTAGGAATCTGGATCCTTGTTTTAACTGTGTTTACCTTAGTGCTCAATTTTTTTAAAAAGGAAACGATTTCATGGCCGATCTAGTGTTAGGAAGTTGTTCACATCATCCTGGCTCATCTACCCCTGCCCCTTTGGTAACCTCATACGACTCTTCAGGCTCTTCCCATAGTAGTAGGTTTAGCTCAGGTACGTTCTTTGCTACGTACTTTTCCTATTTTTAATCCTCCCATTTTGTTGTTCTAGGTTTTTATGGAGCCCCCTTCTGCTGAGTTAAACGTGGAGATTACCTCATCTAGCCATGGGCAGGAAGCCAAGGTAAGCCCAGCCGAGAAAGGTTCTGCACCTGTCAGCAGTACTCTTCGTAAACAATTTCCATGGGTCACAGAGGAAGTTCTGAGCTTCAGATCTGTCATGACTACCGAAGAGATATCCGGGTTTCCCATAGGTAACCCAGTTGGATTAAATACCTTCTGCCCAGCAGAAGACGAGCCCATTTGCTAAAGCCATAATCCTGAAGAGCCACACTTTTTCTTTTTTTACCGTGACTTAATTACCAAGATTGGTATCTGCTTTCCTCTTTCTCCTTTTGGAATACAGCTTTTAAACTATCTCCTCCTTGCTCCTACTCAAATTCATCCCAACGATTGGGCCTATATCATTGCCTTTGAGCAACTATGTGCATCCTTGTCCATGACTTGCACTGTTGTTCTTTTTCTTTATTTTTTTAACATATATACTCCTCGCACTGGTTCCGAGCCTCCTCAATTCAAAGGGTGGACCAGCATCCGTGGTCATGCCAGCAATCCCTTAAGGAAATTGTTCTCCATTTATAGTGACTCTTTCAAAGACTTCAAAGGTTTATATTTCAAAGTGGTTGCCGAAGTCAGAGAAAGACCATGGTTTATTGGGGAGGATGGAGAGGGAAGGTTTCCTCTTTACTAGTCTCGAGAGCATCACCTGCGAAGGTCGGCTGATTTTAAACTGAGATTATCGGTGGAGGACAAGGCTAATGTTAAGACCTTACTAGCCCATGTCGGCTCTCAAGTCCATTTAAGTGCAACTTCTTTGGTTGCTAGATCTCATGCCAACCTACCTCAAAATAGTATGCCTTTTCCATTTCTTCAAACACGTCTTTTAATACTTGTTTCTTTTTCTTGTTGTAATTGTACTTGCCTGACTTGCAGATTGTCAGATGGATTCTGCTGCGGATGAAGTACCTGACTACGAGTTGCAGCTCGGCCTCCTGCTGCTGCTAAAAGCAAAGGATTATTAGTCCTTCCGCAGGTGCCACTTCCTCCATCTCGGCCGTTAATCCCAACGTGCTGGATCTTACCAATGGCGCTGATAACTAGTTGGACTCGGGGTGTAACCAAGCTTCTCCTGCTGAAGGCATCAGAGGTACCACTCGTGTCGTGTATCTGTAGACCGAGGTTCCGCATCACCTACTCCTCTTCCTGCCGGACTTAGGAGAGGAGCCACACAGCTCCGTGGTGTTACCCGCCCTCCTTTTATAAGACTGGCATCGTCTAGAGGGTCGAGATGGAAGAGCTGCAGAAGGCTGAATTATACGCTTTCAAGGTGGCCTCACTATTAAAGCCTTACTCTCTGCTGTTGGAGAAGCACTCAGAGATCTGTGCTGAGAAGGATGCACTCTAGGTTGATAGAGATGCACTCCGGGTTGATCGTGACAAGCGATCCAAGAGAATAAAATTTGACTGTTGCTGCTGCTGAATTAAAATCATCTTTGGAGCAATCCAAAGCCGATTTGAAACTTGTGGCAGATTCTTTTGGCCTTGATCCCAACAAAGAGTCCCTCATCAATTACTTCAACGAGAAATTAACCTTGCTAGCCGAGAATGAATCGAGAACAACAACTTTGGCTCTGAAGAATGAAAAGCTGAAATCTGACCTCCAAAGTTTGCAGTCTGACTATGAACTTAGCCAGACCGCTTTGGATAAAGCTGTTGGTTCCGCATTTAATAATGCAGTAAATCACATGAAGTACTTCAACCCCGAAGTGACGTTGAATACTGTTCAATTAGATTATTTTGGCTGTGTTCGGGGTGTGGTTTTTATCCCCCCTCCAGCTGATCCCAATCTGGGAGCTGCTGAAACTGTCATCGTTAACCCGGAAGCTGAGGACGCTAGGCAACAATTTGAAGCTGAAGTCCAAGAGATGTTTCGGAGTGACCAGTGGTCTGAATGAAGATCCGGGATGCCAGTTTACTTTGTAATAACTTTTCCTTTTTATTTTGATTTTTTTTAATGTCGGTTTAACTTGCAAAGACTCTTTCCCTAGATTTGTGACAAACACCGTATGTGTTACCATTCCGTGTGCATCTTGAACTCGTCATTAATTGATTTTCCAATAGCTTATCAACCTGATCAGGGTTGTTTATACTACTTGGCATTTTTGCTTATAGCAATATTTTCGCTCTTATTTGCAAGGACTTGGAAGAGTTTTAAGGGCGTCCCCTTATTTTCCAAGTTTGTACATGTCGGGTGGAACTTGCCATCTCGCTCTTGACGAGATGGGTTCCATTACCTTAGTTTTACGTTTGGCGAGAACTCTCAGTCCTGCTCTTGGCAGGGCGGGTTCCATTACCGTAGCTTTGATGCCTGGCTAGAACTCTTGATCTTACTCTTTAGCAAGACGGGTTCCAATACCTCAGTGTTTGTGCCTAGCTAGAACTCGCGATCTTGCCTTTTGGTCAAGTCGGGTTCCATTACCTTAGCTTTGGTTCCTGACTAGAACTCACCATCCTTACCATTTTGGCAAGGCAGGTTCTAATACCTCGGATTTGGTTCCCAGCTAGAACTCACTATCCTTGTCATTTTGGCAAGGTGGGTTCTAATAACTCGAATTTAAGATAGACATCAGATCTTTTGAAAAATGGACATTGTTTTGTTCAATTTATTCATAAATGACTTTGAAATAACGGAAAAATTTCTTATTCTTTAACTAAAATATTGCTTCAACTTGTCTGCATTCCATGTTCTTATGATATTTTTCCCTTGCGGAGTCCCCAGTATATAGGCTCCCTTCAACAGCTTTTCTTTTATTTTATATGGCCCTTCACCACTTTGGAGCTAGCTTTCCTTCGGCCGCATTTCGTCCTCCGATGTCAGCTCGACGAAGAACCAAATCTCCTACCACAAACGATCTAGACTTCACCTTTTTATTGAACCAGTTTGCAACGAGCTGTTTGGCTGCAAAGTTTTTGCAGTGAGCCATAACCCGGGTTTCATTTATCAAGTCCAGTTCCACCGCCATTTTTTTACTATTTTCTTCTCCAGTTTGTGATAATGCCTGGATTCTTCTCCAGGACGGCTCTCCCAACTCCACTGGAATCATGGCCTCACATCCATAGGTTAACCTGAATGGCTTTCCCCTGTGGACGTCTACATTGTGGTTCTGTATCCGCATAGTACGTAGTACAACTCTTCTACCCATTTCCCTTTGGCAAATTGCTCTATTCTTTTTCTCAGTCCTTCTATAATGACTTGATTGGCTGCTTCTGCCTGACCGTTGGTTTGGGGATGCTCCACTGATGCAAAGCGATGTCGGATATGAAGGTTTGCCATTAATTCCTTGAAAACTTTGCTTGTGAACTGGGTTCCATTATCAGTAACTACTTCAGCCGGGATCCCGAACCTGCAAATTTTATTTCTCTCGAAGAAACGTTAGATTTTAGCCGAGGTAATTGTTGTAATTGGCTCTGCTTCTATCCATTTGGTAAAGTAATCAACTGCCACTATTAACCATTTTAGTTGGCCCTCTGCTACCGTAAATGGACCCAAAAGATCCATCCCCCACTTAAAGAACGGCCACGGGGCGGTAATTAAGCTTAACTCTTTCGGGGGAGCCAACAGGTTCTTTCCGTGTTTCTGACATTTATCACATTTCTGCACATGCTCCTTGGCATCGTTGCTCATGGATGCCTAGAAATAGCCAGCTCTAACCGCCTTCCGAGCTAACACCTTACTTCCCACGTGCTGGCCATTAATTCCCTAATGGATTTCAGACAGGATGTACTGTGCCTTATGCGAGTTCAGGCATTTCAGCAAAGGTGAGTAAATCCCTTTTTGTACAGCTGCCCTTCCACCATGGTATACAGTGTTGCGTCTTTGACTAATTTCCTGGCTTCTTCCTTTCTTGAAGGTAGCGTACCATATTCCAGGTAATCGATTATGATAAGACGCCAATCATCCATCCCTGCTATTTGCATTACGCATGTGGGTTCTGGGATGTTCTGCTCGACCACCGTCCTATGATTTCCTCTTCCTTTGGTACTTGCTAGCTTGGATAATATGTTAGCCCTGCTGTTTTCATTCCTTGGAATATAGATGGCATCCACCTTTTCAAATTCCATCATTAACTGCCCAGCGGAATCTAAATACTTTGTCAGCAAAGGTCCCCTAGCTTGGTAGCTCCTTGCAATCTGGGAGGTGACTAGTTGAGAATCGCTAAACACCTGCAGCCTTCGTGCTCTGAGTTCCTTAGCCTGATGTAGCCCGACTATGAAGGCTTCGTATTCTGCCTGGTTATTCGACGTTTCAAAACCAATTTGCATGGAATACTCAACGACTACACCTTCAGGGTTTTCGATGATTAGCCCGGCTCTGCTCCCTTTCGAGTTGGAGGAGCCATCTACATACACTTTCCAGGTATCCGGGCTGTTCCAACTCTCATTTTGGATTGAGGTAAGCTCCTTGACAAAATCTGCCAGTGCTTGGGATTTGATTGCTTTGCGACTTTCAAATGTGATATCAAATTCTGATAACTCAATAGCCCAACTCATCATTCTCCCTGCTAAATCAGGCTTATAAAGGACCTGTCGAATTGGCAGGTCGGATCTGACCATAATTTTATGCCCTTGGAAATATGCTCCGAGTCTTCTGGCAGAAATTAACAGAGTAAAGGCCACTTTTTCTAATTTCTGATATATGAGCTCCGCCCCTTGTAAGAGTTGACTTACGAAGTAAATCAGCTATTGTCCTTCTTCATTTTCTTGTACTATGACCGAACTGACAACAGCATCACCCACAGAGAGATACAGTATCAGAGTTTCTTTCTCCCTTGGTTTTGTCAAAACTGGTGGGGAAGCTAACTGCCTCTTTATCTCTTTGAATGCAGCTTCACATTCTGAAGTCCACCCATATTGCACTTTCTTCCTAAGTAACTTGAAGAAAGGTAATGTTGTTTCTGCAGATCGAGGCAGAAACCTGGTGAGGGAGGCCAATCATTATGTCAATTACTGTATTTCTTTCTTGCTCATAGGGGCCTTCATTTCGAGCACAACTCTTCACTTTTCCGGATTGGCTTCAATGCCTCTGTGAGTCAGCATATAACCCAAGAACTTTCCCACGAAGACATCGAAAGCACATTTTGCTGGATTCAACAGAATGTTATGCCGCCTCAATTTTTCAAAGGTTTGCTCCAGATCTTCAATATGCACCGTTGAGTCTAGTGACTTGACTATCATGTCATCTATGTACACTTCAACATTCCTACCTAGCTGGTCTGCAAACACCTGGTTCATCATCCTTTGATAAGTGGCTCCTGAGTTTTTCACCCAAAAGGCATCACATTGTTACAATAATTTGCTTTCTCTGAGATGAATGCTATTTTCTCCTGATCTTCTGGGTGTAATAGGATTTGATTGTATCTGAAGTAGGCATCCATGAAGGACAACATATGGAACCCGAAGGAACTATCAACCAATTGGTCTATGTTAGGCATGGGGTATGCGTCCTTCGGACATACCTTAATCAGGTCGGTATAGTCCATGCATACTCTCCACTTTCCATTTGGCTTTTTAACCATTACCACGTTGGATAACCAGGTGGTATATTGTATTTCTCGGACGAATCTTGCTTCTAATAGCTCCTTCACATGATCCTCCAATACTTGCCGACGTTCTGGGCTAAGCTTCCTCTTTTTCTGAGCTATCAGCTTAGATCCTGGATACACTGCCAATTAATGGTAACAGAAAGCAGGGTTTACCCCAGGAATTTCTGTCGATTTCCAAGCGAAGACGTCCTTGCTATTCCTCAAGCATGTGATGAGCTGATTCCTTACATCTTCTGTTAATCCTTTGCCGATCTTTGTAGTCTGCCCCTGTTCTCCGATGGCTACTTCTTCTAATTCTCCGTCGAGTTCTGGCCTCGGCATCTAAATATCATCCGTCATATCCAATTCCACCATGTTAACCGACGCCTTCCCCTTCTGGTTTGGATCGACGTGACTGACGTTGCTTTCTTTGATCTCGGTTGAAGGTTTAGGTCCACTTTCCACCGCTCTAACTGACTTGAAATAACAATCTTGAGACTCCTTCTGGTCCCCCGCAATGGTGATCACTGTGTTTTGCTTACCAATCATCTTAGTTTTCTGATGCTTGGTGGAAACCAACATATCCCAATCATGAATAGTTGGCCTTCCAAATATCATATTATACTCAGATGGAAAGTCGGCTACAATGGACCATACCCTTTCAGATCTGTATGCCTCTTTCGATCCTAGGATAAGCCTAAGATCAATATACCCTTTGGGTAGGGTATTACGGTTGTTTAACGCAATTAGGGAAGTGTTGCACGGCTTCAGGTCCTCCTCATCTAAGTTCATCTTTTTAAATCCCTGCCATAAAATTATGTCGGCGCAACTGCCATTGTCCACAAAGATTTTCTTGACTCTACAGTTGACTAACGTCCCTGTAATGACCAGCCCGTCTACATGTCTTGGCATCACATCTTCCAACTCTTTTTAGGTGAAGTATAGCAACGGCGGCTCCGGCTTGCCTTCTTTTTTGAACTTAGGTTGCTCTCTGATCGAAAGCACTTCCCTCAAGTATTTCCTTCTGGCATTCATGATAACACCTCCTTCGCCGAAAGCCCCACTAATAACATTGCATTCAAACTCTGGCTCAACGAACTTATTGTCCTCATTAGCCGGCTTCGTACCCCGGCTATCTTCCTTAAGTCTCTTTTCCTTTGTCGGACTCATAGGCTGACCTCTTATTTTTCTGTTGTTCCTCCATCCTTGGGTCTTTATCAAGTACTGACGTAATTGACCACCCCTGATATGAAAGGCACAATATCATTGATCTAACCCGGCTTGGTTCTACAAAGGCCGAGGTCTGTCAACCTTCTTCATATCGGTGGAGGCCACTTCTCTCATGAAAGGCACAATACTAAGATTGATCTAACCCGGCTTGGTTCAACAAAAGACGAGGTCTATCAACCTTTTTCATATCGATGGAGGGAACTTCTCTGTAGTATGCCCGAGCCTTTCATGGAAGGCACAATACCGAGATTGATCTAACCCGACTTGGTTCAACAAAGGTCGAGGTCTGTCAACCTTCTTCATATCGGTGGACGCCACTTCTCTCTAGATTTGTGATCTGGGTGTATTTAAAGGCGCATACTTCTTGAATCTCCCCCTCACTGGAGTTCTTTCGTCTTGCCTTTTACCCCGAAACTCATTTTACCTCAGATTTTTGGACTTCTACATCGGGTTAGGATGGTGCTTCTGATCCATGTTCTCAATCTCCATCTGTTCCAACTCCAGGTACTTCTTTGACCGAGCCGTGAACTCTACCAGCGTTCTAACCGGGTCTTTGTATATTTATTTGGCCAACCTAGAGGAGCCATGCAACCCTGCTATTACCAGGTGCAGATGAACATTTTCAGACAATCCTGGAACCTGTAAGGCTGCCATTTTAAAAAATCCAAATATTTCTGTAAGGTTTCACCGGGTTGCTGCCTTATTTTCCCCAGCGCAGATTCTGATTTTGGTTGTTTCTTGCTAGTAGCAAAATTCAGCAAGAATCTTCCGCCAAATTCTTCGAAAGATCTGATGGATCCCGCCGATAATGACGAAAACCATGTTTGAGCCGCTCCTGTCAACGTAGTTGCAAAAAGTCGCGTGATCAAAGGTTCTTCTATCCCTTTGATGTACATGGTTGTATCAAAGGCATCCAAGTGTACTTGGGGATCCTGCGTTTCGTCGTACTTGAGGAGCTCTGATAAATTCAGATTCTCTAGGAAGGGTGCATCGACAATCTCGTCCACAAAAGGACTATCATTGTACTTCCCTCTATTGTACTTTCACCTATATACCCCGGACACGTCATTCGGGTTCCTGAAGAGATGCCTGTCACTTGGGGGCAAGAGACTCTCTATTTTCCTCGTTGTACCCTTTCCATCACCTTGGCTTCCTTTATGTCGAAGTTCTTGATAACGAACCGGGTTAGTGACGACCCTTTGAGCTCGGCCATCAGCGTTTCTCGCCTGACTCCGGGTTTAATCATTGTTGCCCTGATGGATCCTCCCTGATCGGGGGAATTGATTGTTGCCCAGGATTCGATCTTGAGGGCTGCCGGTAACCACTTCTAGTCGTCTTCACCATTCTAACCGGTGGCTATCAAC